TAGGGATCTTTAGACGTGTATCAGTGTTGATATGTTCGGATAGATCATCCAAACCAGAAGCCCCCAAATTCTGAAAGATTGGCACTAAACGTCATCCATCACACTTATCTAGGGTAATCCATATAAGGGTACCGAATATAGATTTACATTTTAATAACTATTTTTTTTCATTTAGACAGGTTAATCGGCAAAAAAAGACCATTTATAAATCAATAAAAAAATGGACGGAAATATTGACGGATTGCCGGGTGAGTCCGTATATATTTTGTTATTTTTAATAGTTCTTATAAGGACAAATCATATTTATTCTGCAAAGGTAGGTAAAAACTCTACATTACAAGATCAAACCGCTTATATCAAGGTTGACTTGAAACACATCCAAATTCATCCTTCAAATGAATTTATCAACTCAACAAGAGAAAACAAGCTTGCATTTTTGTTTCGTTATACATCTCATCTGATTTCAATCAGCTTGAATAATATGGAATTCGAGATTACTATTCCATTGAATCAAATTGTCGAAATGAAGATCACAAAGGAACAAGAAATTGCTATAGAACTCGAACAAAATTTCAAAAAATCGGTACAGTTGCTAAAAGTAAACTTACACGTGTAATCGTGTAACGGACATACGATTGACTACACATGATTCATGTTTCTCCACATTTAATCCATGCACTTTGACGATCCTTCAATCAGTACTATCATTACTCTAAAGGGAATGGAAATCCTCCAATAATAACAATATCTTCGGATCCGACCAACGGAAAACTAAATGATGCAGCTTACATTCTTTTTAAACCAATGCATTGGGTGGAGAACAATACCCTTTTGATGGTTGAAGCAGGAATTCAAAGACTACGGTTTAATTTGGTTAGAGGAAATGATGATGGATTTCCAGGAAGTAGCAGTTCGAGGGTTCGTTTGTTCCAAAAAGTAACTATTCCAAAGGAAGGATGATGTAATCAGTAACATTCTAGGCGTAATTCCTTATTTGTAAACCCACAGGTAAAGCAAGACGTACTTATCAATTCAAGTGGAAATTTGGCGGATTCGCAAACACAGCCACAAGTTTTGCAGCCACAAGTTATGGATATGGATCTACTTTCATTCACCGAAGATGAGTCAGGAGTACTTTATACGGAAGTAAATAACGACACCATGGTTCATGATAATGAGGTCACTGAGGTATAAATTTTATCGTAACCTGTACTAAACGTGTTTGAAAATTATTTTTTTGACATCCAACAATATTTTGCAGCTCTATATCACATGTGTATTCCTAACTGAAAGGCGCGCAATACTTTTTTCTCAAGAAGGTTCCTTTAATCAATTCATCGAATATGTTCGACAACGGTTTGGGTCATCATTCAATAATATTTCTTATAAAAACAAAGTGAACGAAATGATTTCTCTTAAAGATGATGAAGATTGGGATGTCGCGAAATGGGAAGCAGAGATGGAAGGCACAATAAGACTGAATGTCTATATGGGGTGAAAAGGGCGTCATCGTGCAGTTGGAGTAACTAAAGTTGATACAGGATATCTTTTTTTTTTTTTTTTTTTTTTTTTTTTTTTTTTGTTTTGGTCAGCATTACTTTTTTGTGACAATAGAAAATTTCTCCACGTTTCTTTTTTGAATAATTATAATTAAATTGGACTTTGAATGAATAGTCATGTGGAATCCACGCGAAAAAATTTTTATACTGATAGGTATAGGTAATACTGGTTTACGATATTTTGCGCTAGTTTTTACATACATTTTCATATGATTGGAAAATACTTAAATAAAATCTACTGTACGGGTTTGCTTAATCTACGCGGCACCATATGAGTGTTGTGGTGTAACTGGACGTATAAAGCACAATAGAACAATAGAAAATATCCTCTCTTTTTATACATTATGCAGAAATACGTTATTCACGTATACTTCGGTCCGTTTTAGGTATATGGTTAATACAAATATATAATTTGGTATCGAACTACTACGTATACAATAAACTGTCAAGGCAGAATTTCTTAACTTCTTTTTTTTTATCGAATTACCATAAGCAGTAACTATACAATGCGAAATGTGGGGTCAAGTTTATTTAAATTGTCTTTGACACTAATGCAATTTTATATGTTGCATGCAGAACTGTGAAGTAATTCGAATAAACAATATAGCTTTTTGGCGTTATCATCATCTGTTGCCATATTGTTGGAGAAATAAGTAAAAAAAAAAAAAAAAAATGATGATAATAATAATGATGATTATAATAAATAATAATAATAATAATAATAATAATAATAATAATAATAATAAAATAATATAATTATAATTATAATTATAATTATAATAATCATCATAATAAAAATATATAGTACAGTATATAATAATAATAATAATAATAATAATAATAAATAAAATAATAATACGCATCTAATAAATAAATAACATAAAATAATAATAATCATTAATAATAATATATATATTTTTTAATATAATAGTAAATAATGGCATCGTGTAAAAAGGGGTGAGAAGCATCGGGGTACATACCTAGAAAGATCGTCTCTAGGGGTGTGAAATTATGTTTGAATTCTCGATCATTTAATACAATGACCTAAAAAAAAAAAAAAAATTTAATGTGACGTTTATCTATCACCCGAAATGTGATAACATGCATAATTTTCTTGTGATATACCAATTTCAGGCATGACATTAAAAGCTCTTTTTTTAGCATAGATCGCTGATTAGCAGCATTTTTTTAATAATAAAGGAAATTCTTTTGATAATATATCAAGATGATGTGTCATCTCCGTCAGAATTATGCGTACATTTAGAAGCGTGTTGGGGTACCTTGCAGTAGAAACTTATTCGATAATTGGCCTATGCGAGCCATCAACGTTAATTGGCACAGTCTTCAACATAGCGGGGTACTTCATTTATCGTGGTAGCCTTAAAGTTCCCGCTTTAATATATATCGTTAATTGCAGCGCGCAGAATCCATAATCGGGTAGACTCGGACGAATGGCTATTAAATGATACTTTCCACCAGCAAAACTGCCGGCAGGTGATCTGGAATAGTGATACAGTAACAAGTAATTGGTAACAAGTAACAGGTAAATAATTTGGTGACGGGCATAAAGAGAATCATCGATTTGCCTTTTTTTTGTTTTACACCAACCTTATTCTCATGTGCTCAATCCGGATAACTCGGTGCTTCCTGGCATACAGTTATTCCGAATTTGGTTAGATCCTCAAATTATATAATATGGTAAAACACGTACACTTCGTTTCCCGCGTCTTAAAGATGAAAGACGAATACGGAAAATTTCTATGAATAAAAAAAAACCAGAAAACATCACCTGAAATGTCACAGACCTCTTTTACATCACCGTACCGCATGAAAAAAGAATAAAGCGGAAAACGGAAAACCGGATTATAAAATGGATGACCTGATATGGCTCTTTGCGACCTCAAATACTCAACGTGGTTTTAAGGGTTCAAAAATGTAGGGGACTGAATTTAGCAAGTTTCATCATTGCTGCACAATGCCGAGTTAAACTATTCGCAGGATTAAGGGACAAAGGCTCGCGGTAATTGAGTTTTTGAGTTACCTTATATGTCTTGGATTATCTTTAAACTTAAAAGACAATTATAAGATGTAACAAGAGACTGAGCCCTAACACATAAAAGTTTTGTTGTGGAATAAAATATTAAAGTTCATTGTAAAATCATTCTCAATTTGTATAATTTTTTTTTCTTGGTACGACGGATTATAATAGTTTTTTTCCTTTACAGAAAAAACGCTTTATAAGTAAGAATTGCGTCCTTAAATGTTAACACAGGCGTTCTACAGATGTTTGGTTCTTAGAATGGAATACAAAAATTAGTATTGTACCAAGTCATCAAGATACACAATACTGATACGTAAACTCTTTTGTAAAAAAAATATATATATGTATAATTGCGTCTACACTTCTGGAAAAAAATTTTTTTGGGGGCGTTATCGATGTCACTGGCTTACAAAAAGAAATTTTCAAAGCCGCGACAAATATATCGATTCCTTTTTTCAATTCCTTTTTTTTCAATTCTTTTTATTCATTCACTCATTCATTTTTTTTTTGGAACTTTAAATGAAAACGCGCATTTCTTTTTTTGTGATATCATGTGTTTCAAATCTGTAGAAAAAAAACTATAATTTATTATTAATATGTTTTATAAAGAAAAAAGAAAAATCGAATGCAATTCAACTTATTATATCAATGCAGTTTCAATCATCGTGTTTGACAGTTTTTATGTTTTCATTATTGTAAAAACACTTTACACTTGAATTTTGTCCTCCCGCTTTGTGCTACAACAAAGGCCGCCACATTTCCCTCCAAAAGTATATCATTTCCACTAACATTCCATTATGCCACATTAGGTGATAAGACTTTATCATCGTTGATCGTTGCTATTTAGGAGGTTATACGCGCTTCCTCATATGTGACAAAGTGGAATCAACGGTTAAATTCGTTGATAACCCGGTAATGTCTCGAGCAACAGGTGAGTAACCGGTTTTATGGGGTCACGATGATAGGGTATATCCCTTTATTTAAAATACTTTCATCTTCCTTCTATAATGTTTCTGTTTTATTTTAAATTTCCCTCTGAAACACCGATCACGTGGCTACAATCTTTTGTTCTGGTTAGTGTGAAAAGGACATTAAAACTCAAAACAATGTTGCCCTACTTTCAATTTCGCCATCGCTTTGTGTTATTTCATCCTTCCAAATAAATCGTTAAAACATACAATTCCCGCGGCAAGTGCGAGTAGTCAATTTTTGGAAGGCGGACCTTATAAGTACCGTTATTTCCAGCGCGAAAGCACGAACCGTCCTTAATTACCTGGCGGCTTTGAATATGCACAAAGGCGGTGGCTTTTTGGACATCCATCTTCATTAGACTCTCTCTTCGGAAGATCACCTCTCTAACTTAGAATTTTTAAAATAAAGAACATTCATTATAGACGCCAATGCCGAATGCTAGCAACCTTGGTGATGACATGCAAGTTGACATGCCTCAGACGAAAAGAGCTCGAATAACTTCGCAAAGCAGCGGTGTTGCCGAAAGTACTGAAACTGATTGGCTTAACGTAGTTCTTAATAAACAAGAGGTGGATCCTAGTTGTGAAGCCTGGGATTTCTACTTTCAAGACTCTCAGGTGCCAAAACATAAGGCTCCTAATTCTGACATTACCTTCGCTACGCCTTTCGTCTTCAAGCCCGTAAATCCGGCCCAGGGATTTCCAACTGGTGATTTACCAAACTCTTCTCGAAGACAAGAATCTTTATTCTCTTCAAACTATCCGTCTTTCTCTGCAAATACTTTATCCGAAGACCAAGTCGGTAAGATAGTTGAGATTCTTGGAACTGTATTGGAAGAAGTAAAAGGTAATATATGGAGGACTGTCCTAAGTCAAAATAAAGGTAATGTATCTTTGCGTTATATTCTTCCACTCAAGAACAAAAACAAAAAAAAAAAAAAAAAAAAAACCACAAAAAACCTACAAAAAATCTACAAAAACTTACGAATGATAAAATACTAAGTTGAAATAAATGAAATAAATGCTAATTTTTTTTTAATTTTTTTGTTTTTTGTTTGATTTATTTTGTGTTATAATACGCGTGTTTATAAAATAAATAATATACTTCTCTTTATGTTTCCAAAAATTTTCCGACTAGATCATTTAATACCACCAAGCTTTATCCGCGAGTTTAATAAGCTTGTGAACGAGTCTTCTTATACACAACCTACAAACATTAAACCCCCTCTCATAAAAACCGTAGAACACTTACGTTCCATCTTTTCCCCTTCAAACACTTCTATCACATTATCTTCCGATGCAGAATTATATAGCCACATATTTAATTTTTATTGTCAAATGGCCGCTTTTTTAACTGTGATCCATTTGTTTTTTGATATCATCGTTATGGATTTTTTATGTGAGCGTGAAGAAGGACAGTTTACAAGACATTTATCAATAGAAAAGTTCATGAAAATTTTTGATGATGCAGACAATTTTTTATTATATCACTCCTCACCTGTTGAAATTGAACCAAATAATAGTGATCTAGAAGCTTTCTTTTGGTATTACCGTAGGGTTATACTACCTCAAACTCAATATCATTATGAACTTACAGACCGTTTTAGAAAATTATCAATTTATTTTTCTTCATTAGACATTACTGAATCTGTATTGTCAATGTTTTATACAAAACATTTCTTAAACGTGTTTGCAAAAGAACATCAAAAGGATCACGGCCAATTTTACACTCCGAGGGAGGTTATGAGGTTCATGTGGGATCGTGTTTTACTAGGTAGAGGAACTGGTACATGGATTGAAAAACTTCTTAGAGGTTCTTTTCAACCAAGTAATGTCATAAGCTATTCAATTAGTCAATCTTCGATAATGTCATCTTCTTGGAGCACTTATCCTCAAGCTCCAAGGGTACTGGATCCTTGTATGGGAATAGGTTCTTTTCTTTGCGAGTTCATACATCGTGTAACTCTTGCTGCACGACAATGTCCTTCAGTGTGGCATGATCCAAAAGCAATTTCCCATCTTCTTCAATCTTTAACAGAAAATATTTGGGGTATAGAAATCGATGCGTTCGCGTTTCACCTTTGCAAACTTAACATAACGATACACATGTTACCACTTTACAAACGCTTCGTTCAACTTTCCTATCCGAATGAAATTAAATTACCACGCTTACATCTTTTTTGTAATGATACTTTAAATTTATATCTCCCAAAGCGAGAACTTACATGGGAATATGATAATTTATGGCTACTGCGTTCTCCTCAACGTCTTAAATTTGATTATATAGTAACTAATCCTCCCTATATGATTCGAAAGACTGGATTCATATCAGAGCCTGACAGTGAACTTTTTGATGAACGAGTGTTGGGTAAAGGTGGCATGCAAGCTTATGCTTACTTTTTTTGGTTTTGTGTCGAAAGATGTCGGGAAGAGGCTGGGGAAATATGCCTTATTAGTGGTAAGTACGCGGAAATGAAAACTTTGATTTTGAAATCCTGTTTTGTAACTTGTTTTATACTTCGATGGTACAGGGCCTTAAGTTCAATATTTGTTTATGATCTAAATTTGATCATGTTTAAATGTCCGATATCGAGATTGTGCTACTTAATATTTTAATTTTAATTATATAAATTATTCCTTTTATTAATTATAATTATTAGCAAGTATTCTCACGGTATTTTTTTTTTTTTTTTTTTTTTTTTTTTTTATGATCTTACAGCTAGTCAATGGATGGGCTTAGAATTCGCTGACAAATTGAGGTATATACTATTCTATTACTAATATTCAGTTTTTAATTTTTTAACTAGAATTTTTATTTATTACAATTTAATAATTTAATAATTTAGAGCATGGTTATGGCAAAAATGTCATCTTGTAGAATTCTTTCAATTTGAGCCATTTAAAGTTTGGCGGAAAATACAAACCGATTCCCTAATATTCCGTCTTCGTCGCCGTAGCGAATCTTTATCCACCAATGGCTTAACTTCCAGGCCTCCTATTACTTCAGAACCACCAACAATATTTTTACGATACATGAATCGCAAAGCAACATTACAGGAGACTCTAAAAGCTTATGCAAACTTTAATCCAAACAATACACCCTTCGATAAAGATATGCATTGTAAAATAACACCACCTTATCCACACACTATTCTTCCTTCTCCTACAAGTTCTTACTCATTTACGTTCCTAATGCCTACCTCTGTCGTTAGCGCATATCTTCATTCGATAACAGCACATCTTCCTTCTCTTTGTGATCATTCAAGTATGAAACCCACTTGGCTTGAATGCAATCCGTTGATTTGGCACAGAGGACCAAATACCAATCCGGTATATGCTCTCGTTGTTCGAACATCATGGGCATATTCTAAATTTGGTAAAGAAGTATGTAGACGTTGGTTACGACCAGTATTTTATTGGAATGGAAAAAATGGAGGAAAAGAAGCCGAATTTTGGCAAAAAATGGGTGATGAACTTCGACTTGAAAAAAAGGAAAGCTCTCCCGCAGAAGCTTATGTTCCATTCCTTTCATATAATTCATGTGGTTCTACTATATCTAAAGATGGACTTGAACAAGAAAAGTCCATGTATTCTCTAATAATGGTTGATCGTGATGCAGTAGATAAAGTTCGTAAAGATTTTGGTGAAACCAGTGAATTCTGGATTTACCTTAAAGAAGCTCGAAAATATTTACAAACTAGCATGACATCACGAGAAGTCGCTTATTGTGGAACTAGTAAATGCGGGTAAGTTACAATACTCGTGATATACTTGTGCTTGGGAAAAATAATATTTTTTTTTTTTTTACGCGCTAGCTGTTATTGGACAGCCTAGATACTTAAGCATTTATAAAATATACTCTCATAAAAACGGTTTAAGCTTTATAAATTTTTAATATACATTTTCTTAATGGTTAACATAGGATTGATATCCGTACAAAGATAATTCACCCAATAAACTACGGTTATTTCTCTAAAAATCAGGTTTGTTTCGTTTGTTTTTCTTTTTTCCTTAATATTGATTCCTTCATACGCACAATTACTGCCATAAATGATTCATGCGTGCTGTGTTAGATTCCAAATAAACATTGGTTCGCGTTTTAATGGGCGTAAATGGAGATTTACTTTTCTTACCTTTCATGTGTATTTTTACATTTGCATATGATTTTTGTACCACCTTTCCAAAAACCTTAATTGTTAGAACTCATTCATGCAAAAAAAAAGTTATAATTTATATATTATACCTTAATTATATATGATACCGAAATGTGCTTCATAATTGCATAAAGCTTATAGTTTTTTTTTACTTTACCATAGCCACGTCAACGATTTTTTATCGATGAAGATAATGTGTGTGTAACAAATCAGGTACGAAAAAGGATTATCGTAAATTCGCGTTTGAAATTTTTGGCACGTGATTCATACCTTAACGACGCGTTTTTTTTTTTTTTTTTTTTGTTTCATCAAAAGTGTATCTATTTCACGATAAAGTCGACAACCGGCCTTCCCCCCCATTTCTTTCTCGGTCTCCTTAATTCAACTACCATTCAACATTTCCTATCACATCATTGTAAATACGATCAACAAGGAAGGATGAGACTTTTCCGCGAAAATATGGCAAAAATACCGTATGCAGCACCAACCAATCGTGATGGAATTGATTGGTTCATTAGATGCACGCAAAAAATGATAGTAGTTCGCCAAATGTTATACGAGGGGATTGGAACATGTGAAGATGAAGAAAAAGTTGGAGGAGCAGTGGTCGAAAAATTAAGAAGAGGAACATGGCAATTGACAGGTCGTGAATGGCAAGAAAAGGAAAGTGATGCATATAATAATGAAACGAGTGTTGTTTTGAGGGAAGAACAAGAAGGAAATTGGGTCATGGTTAAACAATGCCGTGGTAGAGAAGAAAGCCTTGATTATTCTTTATGCCCAGAATTTGAAGATGAACAAGGAGCCAGACAGTCAACCGAATGTTATAATAGATATTCTTCTTCGGCTGGAATGTCCGTGATGAATGAGCATCGAGCTACAAGGGGGAGCACGACAAGAACCCACTTCTTAAAACCATTTTTTGAATCTCTCTTGCATGCTTCAGCTTGCCTTCAATACGGAATAGATCAATATGCTTACTCATTATATGGAATAGATGCAAAATTTCAAATTGCTTTAGAAGAAGAATTAAAAATCGAAAACTTTGATATTATAATTACCAAATTCCCCCGTTGGAACGGTAACATAAGTAATGGCCACAGTGAAGCGGAAACAAGAGGAGTTGTACCAGAGTGGGGTGAAAGACTCTTGTTGGAAGTCGGCCAAGCGATTAAGGGAGGTGAGAATCTGTTACGTCAGAAAAGAGGGCCCATAATTAACCGAAATTGAAACAAAAAAAAAACAAAAACAAGATTGCTTCCGTAGGGGGAATTTGTAAAAAAAAAAAAAAAAAAAAATCAAAAAAAAAAAAAAATTAACGCGCACTCGAGATATAGAATTTTCTTATATAGATTGAAAAAAACACGGATTCACTTTTTTTTTGGCGTTGATGTGTGTACCCGACGTGTTCGTTGTTTGATTATTCGTTTCGTTTAAATTTTATTTAGTAATTTCGCGCACGTGCGTATAACAACAGATATATAGTTCGGGTTTTTTCGTCGTTTGTGCTTATGCAAGAATTATTTCGTACGTTTAGAAAAAAAAAAAAAAAAGTATTTGGATTTGCTTATACAAATTAGTATAAATCAAAAAAAAAAAAAAAAAGAACAAAAAGAGATTAAAAAAAAAATTCAAAGAAACATTCAATTGAAAATATGAGTTTTTTTTTTTTTTATAGATTTAAAAGATTTTAAGTAATATAATATGTAAACTAAAACAAGGAAATTTTAAAGCCATTATAGTCAATAGAGTTAAATCTTTTTCCTTTAGATTTATGATGCATGCAATGAAGTTTGTTTCTGATAATCATTTTAACAAGCCGTTCGTTTATTGTATGTATGCACTGTATGTATCGAAAATCAATACTCTAAAAATTCAGTCGATACCATTTTTTTAAGTTTTTTTTTTGTTTAACAGGTTGAGGCTATTTTTTTTATGCATGATGCGAGAAAAAGTATAATAAACAATGGCATTAAGATTACGTGATACGGATGTTTTATTCATTGTATTATTACTGTATTACCCTGCTTTTTTTTTTATATCTTGTAAAATATTTTGCTTACATATAAACAAAATGCGAAACGCTCCACGAACAGAAACTGTGTATTACAATTACCATAATCAAATTTCGCACATAGTAAAAAAAAAATCTGGTGAATGACAATTAATATTAAAATGTTTTGATCTACAATATGCACACACCACTTTACACAGCACCTTATCATTTGTCGCCAAACTGTCAAAAAAAAAAAGAGAAAAAAAAAGAAAGGAATAACTACATTCAGTCCTAGCCTTATATGAAAAGAGCAAGTACGTACCTTGACCAACGCGTTTTCTAATAAGTAAAAATAGGATTTATTTCATGCTAACATGAAAATGATTTCTTTGTTCAAGTCGAATAGTCGAATAGAAATAATGAAGTTCGTTGTTTGAAGGGACTTCATCCTTACAGGCTCTTTAAAAAATCGTACATGCTTAAAAGATCACCTA